CTCTTGGTCTCTCACGTGCGCTGTTTCAAACGATTGTTTTTTTGTTTATACATCATACTCCGATTAATGAACTGTTTTGAATTTTGTTTCAACCAGATGCATTGTGTTTAGAACATTGTACGTATGCTTTTATTTACTCACATTGGCTCTTGTTTTAATAAAATTTAGGTTGTTGAAAGTTTGCGTGCTGACCGCCATGTATCTTTTATCTAACGTTAAAGGTCTAATGTGAAATTCTACCATCATTTGGAAACAATCCAAAAGGATTCCTACTGGAGTTTTCTTATATTATTCCAACTTTAAAAAGTAAAAATCTGATATTTTCTAACACGTTTATTTTCCAATAAGACAATGATTACCAATAGGCTAAAATATGACTCTAGTCTAAGACATCAATGGGAATTTAAAAAAAAATCTTTAAAGTCTGTCTAGTATCAAGACCTTATTAAGATGCATTGTAAGTAGAGTTCTAATATTTTGTAGGACTCCTAATCATGTTTTATCATTTAAATTCTTACTCTGGTTGTTTTAAAATTATCATGGGAATCCTGTGCACGTTCTATATTAATGATATTCTGACAAGTTAAGCCATTTGGTTTAGACATTTCTTTTAAGTGAATAATTAGTGTGTGTGATTGATCAATGCTTTTTTGGGGGATTTGTTTGTATGTTTTTCATTGGGAATCATGTTGAATTAGTTGAGGAGCAGCTGAGTGTCTCACAGTATAAATGCTTCAGTTTCTGTTTAGTTTGTTTGTCCTTCTGGAAAGCCTGCGAATCATCGTTAGCTTTTCTGTTGTGAGAGACCAGTGAACCTGTTGGACAGTGTGTGTGTATATATATATAATGTTCTTTAATTACATTGTTTTATTTCAGTTCAGGCTTATTATCTAACTAAACATTAACTCGTTTTTTTTTTTTTAAAGAGATTTTTAAAGATTTCTTTGAGTCAGTGAAATTGTTTTTGCACTTCTATTTTATCCCAGGAAACCGCATAGATGGCAAACATGGCCTCAGCCTCATCCAGCAGTGAAAGTGAGTCACAAAGCGTGCTTACCTGGGAGCAAGTGAGCCGCTTGAACGACGTGCTGACGGAGGCCGTGCCAGTTCACGGACGGGGCAACTTTCCCACCCTGGAGGTCCGTCTGAAGGACATTGTACAGATGGTTAGGAACCGTCTGGAGCTGAGGGGCATTATGGTCAAAGATGTCCGCCTGAATGGCTCCACTGCCAGCCACGTGCTGGAAAAGGACATTGGCTGGAGCTACAAAGACCTGGACGTCATCTTCAGGGTAGACCTTCCTCGGGAAGAGGAGTTCCAGCTCATCAAAGATGTGGTTCTGAGCACTTTGTTGGACTTTCTGCCAGAGGGGGTGAACAAAGAGAAGATCACTCCCATGACCCTGAAAGAGGCCTATGTCCAGAAGCTGGTCAAAGTGTACACGGAGCAGGACCGCTGGTCCCTCATCTCGCTGTCAAACAACAACGGCCGCAATGTGGAACTTAAGTTTGTGGACTCGATCCGGAGACAGTTTGAGTTCAGCGTGGACTCCTTCCAGATCATTTTGGACTCAGTGCTGTCATACTATGACTTCTCAGAAAACCCCATGTCTAGGCACTTCCACCCTACTGTGGTCGGGGAGAGTGTGTACGGCGACTTTGCTGTGGCTCTGGACCACCTCAGGAACAAGCTCATTGCCACCAAACGGCCGGAGGAGATCCGCGGAGGTGGTTTGCTCAAATACTGCAACCTCCTGGTGAGGGACTTTAGGCCCACGGATGAAGACGAGTTTAAGGCCCTGGAGCGCTACATGTGCTCACGTTTCTTCATTGACTTTCCTGACATTGGTGAGCAACAGCGCAAACTGGAGGCTTATCTGCAAAGCCACTTTGTCGGTGAGGAGAAGAACAAGTACAACTACCTCATGATCCTGCGACGGGTCGTGAACGAGAGCACCGTGTGTCTCATGGGACACGAGAGGCGGCAGACGCTTAACCTCATCTCGCTGATGGCGTTTCGCGTTCTCGCCGAGCAGAACGCAATACCTGATGCGTCCAGCGTCACCTGCTACTACCAGCCGGCTCCGTATGTCAGAGACCTGAACTTCAACAACTACTATGTGGCCTCTTGTAACCAGTCCATTCCAACTTGGTTGCCTTGTAACTAAGACTCAAAGATGCCAGAAAGCCGGATATTTGGCCGTAAGGGATGTTTCCCTCTGTAGGCATAAAGGATATTTAAAATGACAAGTGTTTCCTTACTTTTTTTTCTTTTTTTCTTTTTCTTTTTTTTCTTTTAATTCCTTCTCTGCAGAGGTGCCAAGACATTTCTGATTCAAAGTGATATATTTTAGTGATTTTGAAATTTCCTTTTTTTTTTTTTTTTTTTT